AGCTCCTGCATTCAATAATCCTAGTGAAAAACGTCAGGAATTTTTTAATAACCAAGACCACTTTCAAACCTCAGAGTGAGCATCAAGTGTTTTATAATCCCACCGCCCCCCCACCTTCCCCGGATAAATACAACAAAAATATTTGGCATACAAACACAAGAAGTTACTGTTAAAATAGAACTATTCATATAAAAACAATAAATATACAATCTCTTTTTGTGGCACAATTGGCATATACAAGCTTATAGACAAAAATATGTGTTTTGATGTAAAATTGTAAATAATCACATAATGACCACAAGTTAAGATGAGGACATGTTGATAATTTTAATTACTGCTTGAACAAGCACACTAGCTGGCAATATCTCACATAAGGCACCTTATATCGAAGGCTCATAGATGCTGCCTGTCAGCCAGGATCCATTACTGCAACCATCTTCTGTTCGAATGAATTGCAAGACGTATCAACTGCAAAAATCATCATTCTTAGAATATTCTTCGACATCGTTATTGGCTAGAACTTCAATATTGCCTGTAGTATAAAGATAAAGATCCTTTTAACAACCTATAGCATAAAGCATTCAATAGTCAATCCATAATCTTTAAGCATATATCTTTTTCTGGTCTACCAGTGCAGGCTTCAAACAAAAAGTCATTCCAACATCTAATGAAAACTGCTAGCCTGGCCTGTTTTGATTATACACCTAATTTGGTCAGTTATTTTAGAATGGTAGCTGTCGGCAACCATTCTAAAATTCAACTTTTTATCTGAAGATTAGATAAAACGTAAATCATCACACAACCACATATATATATATACACGACAAGATTTCACCAAAACATTTCCAACTTTTTCTTAAAAAATTAAAATCATAGGGGACGTGCACATAACACATACCGATTTCATGTTGCTCCATCCGGTATTTTCTCAGGATCTGTCAGTTCTGTGAGAGTCCCCTCAGGTTTGCTCCAACAGCACAGCCAGCTTGCAAACATACCTAGTAATAAACTAAGAAACAGTTTACAAACTAATGAACCTCCATTCGTATTAATAAGTTCCTTTTGTTGGTACCTGTTCTAAACTGTATTTGTGTGGATAATAATGTGTTCAATCAATCAATATAATGCGAATCTGTAGCCATGTGGCCGTAACTTACCTGGTCGCAAGATGTGCCGTGATTGTGGCCTCAAACAAGCCCAATGAAGTGATGGACAGGATGAACTTGGCCAGGACAACAAGCAGAGAGAAGTGGTAAGCTCCCATTGACTTGCTAAGGTGAATTGTCAGTAGTCCCAGTGTGCCTCCAAGAATCCCACTGGAAATACAAATACATTGCCATGGTTACAACGAAAATAATAATATTGTGTATAACTAATGTACAAGATTTATACTTTCATATTCCTCTGATTGTTGGAAATTTAGACTTCCATTTTTGTCAATTTCATGACCAGTGATTATCTGGTAACTATTTTTAACCACAAAGCCTGTAAAACCCGTTATAATTCAACATGGGTTTGATGGTGTGATGTGGATTTGGCTTTACAACATATAACATAGTTTATGTTACAACTAATATTTAGTCTCAAATTCTACATAACAGATTTTTTTAGTTTTCTTTTTTTGGAGGTTGGGGGGGGGGGGG